CCCCTGGAAAGTTAATCGATTTTTTTTGCCCCCCCCCTGGAAAGTTTTCTGCGGGCGCCCATGAGTGTAGTGTTTATATTTATAGGCCTACTATTTGCATATTGATGCAGATTTCGAAAAAGACAACAAACGTTATTCTGTGTTGTGGGTTAAACATCGTCGATGATATTCATGATAACCTTCCTCATTAATCTATGTAGTCAACTTGTGTACCGGTATTGCTATTATTTGGATCCGCCACTGAATGTTGGGGGCCGTCACGGATAGGACTGAATGAAACAGGAACTGAAAGGTGTCTGTGTGTGTCTGTGTGTGTGTTGTCTGGAAGAACCATTATTCTTTTAAATAATGCAGGATCTTTTTAAAAACGTCATTTTCTTTTTCAGTACCGGTATGAAGGACCACCCACAGGATGACGGCAACTAAGAAGTGCTCACATACCAGTGCCAGGCTGCCCCTCACACTCATGTTTTTCCTGGGTGGTTCATGGGAAATTTCCTGTCAACAAACTTTTGCCCGCAACCAATGACCCAAGACTCTTTTTCCAAACTCCTGTCAACAAACTTTTGCCAGCAACCAATGACCCATGACTCTTGACACCAAACTCCTGTAAACAAACTTTTGCAAGCAACCAATGACCCATGACTCTTGACACCAAACTCCTGTCAACAAACTTTTGCCAGCAACCAATGACCCATGACTCTTGACACCAAACTCCTGTCAACAAACTTTTGCCAGCAACCAATGACCCATGACTCTTGACACCAAACTCCTGTCAACAAACTTTTGCCAGCAACCAATGACCCATGACTCTTGACACCAAACTCCTGTCAACAAACTTTTGCCAGCAACCAATGACCCATGACTCTTGACACCAAACTCCTGTCAACAAACTTTTGCCAGCAACCAATGACCCATGACTCTTGACACCAAACTCCTGTCAACAAACTTTTGCCAGCAACCAATGACCCATGACTCTTGTCCCAAACTCCTGTCAACAAACTTTTGCCAGCAACCAATGACCCATGACTCTTGACACCAAACTCCTGTCAACAAACTTTTGCCAGCAACTAATGACCATTGACTCTTGCCCCAAACTCCTGTCAACAAACTTTTGCCAGCAACCAATGACCCACAACTCTTGTCCCAAACTCCTGTCCCTAATCTATTGCCCACGACCCCTTGTCCTTAAACTTATTCCCGAGACCCCTTTCCCCCAAATTCATGTTCTTAACCTATTGCCATCAACCCCATGCCCCTAAACTCCTGTAGACAACCCCTTGACCACGATAAATTTTGAATAACTGACTAAAGCGCTGTTGTGTTGTTGATATTCAAATTTGCTATAATTCTTCAGAGGAAATTGCAGAAACACGAGCTACTATAATATTGACACAATAGGCACAATTTGAACCATGCCCATAACTTTAGCCAGCACATTTAAAAACGGGATGAAAATATGTCCTGGGAATGTAATGGCGTAACACAAAACTAAATTAATCAATAAGACCGGTACAGAAAGTTTGACATTCCAGGGTAAATTTAGAACTACCACTGGACAGGTTTGCTTGTTACAGATGGCGCCACGAGTACCGGTACCATATTGTGGTGAAATGATGCTATTAGAGAGTGCGTGTAATTCGATAGATTTCTTTATAGCGATGACTTACTCTAATGGCATTTTAATAGACAACACAGTAACATCAATAAGTGTAGATGTATCCTGGACGTTGCTGACATAGCTCAATTGGAAGCAACTAAACCTGGTGTGTGGCAGCAAACAGCTTATACTGCCACTAGTCCGAGACGGGGATGAGATGCTGATATTAGAAAATAGAAAATATCTTTGAGGAAAAATTTAAATGATCGGTACACATTTCAATTTCAAGTAAATGTATCAGACAAAAAATACCGGTAGCTTCTTTTAGTCCTCAAATGTTAGTTTTTGTTTAACCATCTCTTCTGTACTTACCTGTATATTTATTTCCCCAATAGAATCATAGACAAAATTTTATATTAAAAATGTTCCAGCCAGATTGATATGGATAAAAATTATAAATTTTATAATTTATACTGAATGAATGGAGGACCTTTATTTTGTTCCATTTTAAAAAAAAGTGGGAAAAATTCAAGGACAATAACCAATAAATTGATACATTTTTGTAGGAACATGCTGTATATAACTTATGTCCCTTCATAAGGAGAAATGTGTAAGATTCACAATGCGGTTGTAGGCTTGTTCGCTGACAACCTTACAAATTCTATTTAATTTTTAATGAGCACTAGAAGACACAGATAACCCATTTAAAACTCATCAAATTAATCTGAGAGCATGTTGATTTGTCAATTAGACCACTTCTTCTTCCAATCCAAAAAAACTATCAATGTTTATGCCATGGTGAAAATGATAGAATGGGAAGAACAAAAATAAAGCAAACCATTAGCGTCTGGGGTTAACTGCCACTGATTAGTGGTACACAGTTTCTGGAGCTGTTTCATTGTTCAAAGAGTTCCAATCACAGGCTCTTCCTGATATAAAGCAGTGGAATATACAAGCTTAAGTCGTGTGCTAGATACAATTGGTTTAATTCAGAAATCTGGATTACAAGCCAAACAAGTAATGTTTTAGTATGATATATTTCATGACTGCGTATAACCACATAAACAAAAATGCAATATTTACAATGAGAGAAAAAAATAATTAAGAATTGCAAAATTAAACATTCCGATTTGAGCACAACAATGGACAAGATATTTTTAAAAAAAACTAACTTTTAGTATCTGTGCAGGTGATGAAGAAAAGGAAACAAGAAAATTTCTGGGAGAAAAATAAAACAAATTAAATGATTGGAACACTTTCTGGTGTTTACAATATGAAGATATTTTGAAAAGTTTGCTCCTTTCTGCAGATACAAACATGACATTAAAGAAAAACCCACATAAATTGACTGAAAAAAAATAAGACATTTATCACAGCTAGCAACAACAAGGTTGTTTTTGAAACACTTGAAAATCTCAACATTTATTGAGAGGTTACACAACCGAGTAGACAAAGTTATTAACAGGTTCTTTCTCTTAGCTTTAAGTTTAAATGCATTGAATTCCTTTATACCCAGAGCTAACATATCCAATAAGCCAAGGTCTCACAAACTGGGGTGGGGAGGGTGTGCAAACTGGCCAATCAGGGGATGCCAGGAAAAGGTGATTAGAAGAACTGAGGAGCAATTGACTTTTAAGTTATGAAATAAATTATTTTTATTCATTTTCAGTATTTTTATGCATAAGGTCAAAAGCTCTCTATAAAATTAAATTTTGATTAAATATTTAGTCCCTGTTTTTTCCAGTTTTTAAAATGATTTGGTACTTTCCTATGGGGTGCCAGACTTTGCCAATCGATCAAAGGGATGTGGAATATAGAAAAGGTTAGGAAAGACTGTACTAACCTGATTGCAGTCTCTCCCCTTATTACACCCTTAGGAAAGACTGCAATAGAAGGTTATGTGGGGTTAACAGCAATGTTATACAAATCAAGCAACAACCAGATTTTGGTACTGTTAGTAATAGAAAAATGATAGTGTATTTATCCATTTTATAAATTAAGTTAAAAAATATATTTATGTTTTTCCAAACCAATTTAGTAGAATAGCTTAAATTTAACAACTACAACTGAATGATTCCAACACTAGATTTTAAACACCTTTAAATACCATGCTATTTCTAAATAAATGATGTATTTAAGAATAACAAATATTCTAAGTTTTAAATGGGTGTAGAGGTCTTATTTTGTTATTTAAATTGTTTATAATAAAGACAAGGAAAGCTTCCTCTTTTGCATTCATTGACTTTATGGTTATTGCAGGAGTAGTTAAGTTAAGGAAATCATTTCTAGGTCAGAGAAACAAGGAAGCTATCAATCAATAGGGGCACACATTTGAACTGTAGACAGAAGGCAACACCTACACATAAGTCATAATTAATTTATACATTTATAATGGACAGGGTACTTCCAAAATTGAAATTTGGTCCACATTTTTGGTGTGTTTTTGTGTGTAAGTATCCCTAGCATGCAGGCCACCCATATGCTTTGTCATTCTTTTTTTGTCCGAAGCAGTTGTGAAACATCTTGTGCGATTTTGGCTGCCAATTGTATGCTCGTATATGAGCAACAAACAAAATATCAGATTATAAAAAAAGAAAAAGACATCCCTTGTCTTCCTGAGATAGAATATTTTATGTAAAAATGTAAACGTTTTAAAACCTTAATTACCACAAAAATAAGTTAAAAAAATCCTATTAACTGGTAAGTCAGAAATTAATATTATGTATTAAAAGACTCATTTTTAACTTCTGCACTGAATGAAAAATTACTCCTGATTTGGAAAATTAAAAAAAAAAACAAGTTGAACAGTTTGGAATGGACACGCATAATTATTAACCTGTGAAATTATGCATTTTGTTTTCTGACAACTACACTGCCATCCGGAGATCCAAAATAAGCTGCAGTGGTCATATTCAGAAATAATCCAGTCTCAATGACACCAGGGAGATTCAGAATTGTCTTGTTCACATGGTCCCAATCCTGCTCCCCATCAAACATCCAGTCAATCAGAAAGTTTCCGTTGTCTGTAACAACAGGACCTGCTTTTCTAGCCGCCATCCTCAGCTGAGCATTGCCACCAAGTAACTCCATTATTTTCAGCTGCAGTGGCTTGTAGGCCATGGGCAAAATTTCAATGGGGATTCCTTTCTTCCATGTTGTGCCCAAAACTTTGGAGTTTTTCCTATTGTCTGCAATGATGAACAATTTTTTAGCACAGGAAGCAATGATTTTTTCCTGCATAAGACAGCCACCTCCACCTTTGATCAAATTGATATTGTCATCAACTTCATCAGCTCCATCAATGGCCACATTAATGACGGGTGAGGTTTCTAGGCTGCCTAATGTTAGCCCATGCTCTGCGATGAGTTGTCTGGCTTGAAATGATGTAGGGATGCAAACCAGGTTGAGATTTGCATGTTTGTTTCGCTCAGCTATTCTTTTTACAGCAAAGACAATGGTTGATCCACTTCCTATGCCTACAACTTGACCTTGCTCTATGTTCTCATCAACCGCTCTGTTAGCAGCTGCTATTTTCCCAGCTTCAGCATCTTCAGCCATATTTGATTTAAGAAAGTGCTGCTGATAATAAGACGATAAATTTGTTGGTAATAAAACTGCTTTTCTCTGCACTGGCAAGGAGAGTGTTGAAAACTTTTCAGTATGAGACTCAACAGAAATTCTGAAATGAATTGTTTTAAATATATAGTGATAAAAGAAATTTTAGGTAAACTAAAGCTCACTATATTATAAATATTCTATAAAGTGCTAGCTGTGTCAATGAATCATTAATGATACTTTTATACATGGTAGAGGTAACTGAATGAATTTTAAATACATTATTAGTATTACTCAATAGGACTTAGATAGTAGTTCTTAACTGGTGTGTGGTGGGACCAGGAAGTTTTACAAGTGAGTTTGCAAGATATTAATTAAAGTAGTTACAATTATTTTAAGAAACGGGTTTACCTTACTACAACTAGCTTTTAGTGTGACAAAGCCATAGGCATAATTATTTAACAATTAAAAAGGATAACAAATTATAATTATTGAAAGTGGTATAGCCTATTATAAGATTAGGCAATGGTGTAAACTGAGGACTGAGTAGGGCCTAGCCTCTGGCCTACTCTAGGAATTAAATACTACCGGTATACTACATAGAGATAGTGCTGCATTATTTTTATAGGCCTACTTTTTAAAAATTATTTTAATATATGCTTGAGAAATGCTTTTCAATTAATTGATTTTTTAGTACTTGTATTCACATACACACACACATTTTTGTCTATTTTTTTTCTTCATATATTTGGTGTTGATTTTGGAATATGTTTAGTGGATTTGTGGTTGTGAATATATATTTTTAATACTTTTTCACATACCTTTAAACAAAACTTTTGGAATGAATATACAAAATTTTGACAGCCATGCCACTGTGGCGTCATACAGGGGGCAGTGAGCTTTTTTAGACATTACCCCAAAATTTAACAACTATACACATAAGAGGGGCCATCCATAAATGATGTCCCTCGTCTAGGAGGGGGGGGTAGATTTTTGTGACGATGTGTGACGTGGGTAAGGAATGAAACTTAAAAGCCTTCAATTACAGACATTTTTAACATTATTCTTTAAAACTACGATCACTGTGAAAATCAGTACAGGTATAAGAGGTCCGAAAAATGGCTTCTGATGGCCAGCGGGGAGTTACAATGATAGTCGTGATAATTTATGGCTAAATGTGGACAAAGGAGTCATACAAGTAGTTCTACCATGGGACGTGGGTTGGAATGAAAAAAATGGTTGACCCGGTTGGGGGGGGTGGGGATGATCTTGGTAATTGCGCTAGGGCAGGGATTCTTAAACTTTTTTTCAGCGCTGCAGACCCACTCTGTTTTAAACCACCCCCACCCCCCAATCGTTTAAATTATATTGTAATAAAATTTAAAATATGAAAATAAATAATTTAGTTATTGTAATTTTAATTCTTTAAATAACTTTTTATAAACAAGGAAAAAATTATCAATACAAGCATCAGCAAAAAAAAAATTCACCAGAAAAACATTTACTGCTGATAATCAAGATGCATAAAAACTGATTTAAAAAAAGAAATAGCAACTAGCAATGGCAGCAAATACAATTTTCTGGTCTTCTGCACCTCAGGGCTGTGTAGGTACTTTTACCCCTGGTTAAGAACCACTCTAGTGAAATGTCTCCGACACAGGTGCAGTAATTTGATATCCATGGGAGGTGAATTTCTAAAGGTTTGTAAAGGACAGTAGTGGACACAGGGAATTTTTTAGGAGGGGGGGGGTTGCATAAATTTGTGACATTATATTTGAGGGGGGGGTCTAACTTTTTGTGACGATGGGGAAAGGGGGCGGGGGGGGGGGTCGGGTAAAAAATCGTGTGACATCATTTATGGATGGCCCCAAAGTACAAAATGAATTTAACAAAATAAATCAATAAAATCCTCATGATGGAGCAAAAAGAGTTTTGAAAAAAAAATTGTTCAAATTTTGTAGAAATGATGTTTCATTTTTTTTTTACAATGAAATTAAAAATTAAGGCTATTTTAAATCAGCGTCAGAGAAAATGCGGCTACTGTTTTGGGGTTAAATAATTGATTTCTTTACTATGTTTCTATGTTCATTTGACTCAATTTGAGTGAAAAATCATAAATGTACGTTGCCGTAAAAGGAAGCAACTTTTCGACTGTCTTTTGTGAGCAATTTTGAAAACTTTTGCATCTCTTTACTCTTAAATGAAAATACTACGACTATTGGTAGTTAACTTCTAGAGAGCTATTCGTACTCTACCACCAGTAGCTTCTAGGCGGCTATTGGTAGTTCACTATCAAAAAGTACTAATTGGAGATAGTTACATCACTGAAATCACTCTTAAGAAATTCCGAATTTTTTTCTCCAATACAATATGTTGCCAAAAAAGTAAGCTCACGTTTTAGACAGCTGTCTGGTCAAAGTGCATTTCAAAATTAATTTTTTGTGTATAGTCTCAGAAATTCACTCAAAATCGAATTTGCAAGACATAATATAATTATTTTTCTTTGTTTGTATATAGAGTGGAACCTCTCATAACGAGCACCTCTCATAACGAGCACCTCTCATAACGAGTAATTCGCATAACGAGCAAAAAAATGTGAAGAAATTGCTCCCTTAACGAGCGATATTTCGCATAACGAGTTACGCAGAAAGGGGAAGTCCCTTTTCCCTCACTTCTGCTTGGAAAGAACTGGCCAGAGAGTGTTGTTGAATGTGATTTTGAAACAGTACCTATGGAGTCTACAGTTAACGAGAGTGTGTCATTGGCCAATATCATGGGACTCGAGGTGGACAACAACGATATTGAAGAGCTTGTGAAAGAGCACAGTCAAGAGTTGACCACCGAAGAGCTTATGGAGTTGCATCGTGTTTCTCAGCAAGAAATTTTGGAGAGCTCATTAATGGAGGAGGAAGTAGCAGAGCAACAATCTTCTAGCGCAATAAGAGGAATGCTGAAAGCATGGGGAACTGTTGCATCGTACATAGAGAAGCATCATCCTAATAAGGAGGTGGCTATTCGTGCTACAAATTTATTCAATGATAATGCTGTGACACATTTTTGTCAAATTTTGAAGCATCAGCAAAAACGATTAATTATTTATCATAAATTCATATTTTTATTTACGTTTTTTGTTTCAAATCTAAATTGTATTCCAAGTTGTTACACTCCTTAACAATTCATAAGTAATTTTATTTGAATAAATGTTAATAAAATTTTTTGAAAAATGAGTATTTTTTCAGCATGGAACGCATTATCGTATTTTACATTGATTTGTATGGGAAAAATTGTTTCGTTTAACGATTGTTTCACTTAATGAGTAAGATTCTGGAATGAATTATGCTCGTTATGAGAGGTTCCACTGTATTTTATGTCTTGCGGGTTATGTTTTCATCATATTCTCTGCCATTAAAATCATTGATTCTGCATAGCATTAAAAAATATGTAGTAAATAGCAATTCCTAGCCGTTAAATTTTAATTGATTTGTGTTATTGTTATAGATAAACATTTTAACCAATGAAATTTTTTAATTGTGTAAATAATACTCAGGACAATCTCCCACTAGAAAATCAATAACAGGGGGAGGGGTAGGGGTCACATAAAAAAAAAAGTAGCTGGGTATATTTTTATTAGACTATGACTATGATTCCCTTCCCCCCAGTATCATACTACTACTACATCTATCTATGTCTATATTATTAGGTCTATATTACTATTATTAATTATAAATAATAATTATAATCATTTTTAGTATGTCACCAAAAACATTATTAGTAAATATTAGTAACAATACTACTTAGGACTACTATTAATACTTATACAAATGGCTGCATCTATAGGTACCCGGGTACCTATGGTCGCCAATGACGATTCGCACCCGGAGTGGCTCCGTACATATTAAATGGCTTCGGAGCCGGGTGTGATAACAATAATAGTATGAGAATTATTTTTTAAAATGTTTTTTCTCCTTGTTATTTCATTGGTTCATAGTTTTATTATTTTTAGTTGTTTTTTTATTTTTGCTTTGTTAATTTCTCTTAGTACCGGTAGATTTTTTTTAGTTCTTATTTTCTTTTTTTAGTTTAAGTTTAAGCCATTTTCGTAGATCATTTAAAAAAAAAAAAATCTACTAATGAAGATGATTTAAGATACATTTATTGTTTTCATTTGAATTTTAGAAAAGTTATAATATTAATTTAATTATTAAAATTAAATCCTTTATTTAAGATTATTTATGTGTATTGTTTAAGTTCAAAGATTTAATCACACAGTACTTTATGAATTATTTAGGTATTCTAAATAATGAAAATTTCATTCATATTGAATTAATTTCAACTATTCCTCTAGAGAGCTTGGCTTAGTCAGAACAAAACCACCAATTTTAAACCTTTTCCTTGGCACTGGGAGTCATACATGCGGACACTGACTGTTTTTCCTGATACCGGTATCTTGAATCTCCTTTCAACAACCTTTCTCATTTGACTTGACCTAATTCACAAGGTAGTTGCAATGAACATCTTAAAGTTAAAGGATGCCATTGCATAAAGTATGAGAAAGAGACTTATTTTTGGAGGACCAGTCTTATTTTTTTTTTTACCATATCTGTCTACTGGGTCTAACACACTGGTACATAATTTAATAGAAAAAAAAACCCTTAACTGACTTGAGAAAAGTTTTGTTTGGTTGTTAGTTATTTGAGTTGTGTACTCAAGTAATCCATAAAATAAATTAAGGGCAAATATGGAGTAGGCAGCCAATAAACTCATTCAATTAAGTCACATCATTCCTTTGCCATTTGTCTCATTTTACTTTCTAACCTTCCTTGTTGGTACCCGTACAGTTAACTATTGTTTGTACGGTATCATTTCTTCATTGAAGTACAGACGTAATGATTGAAAGGGAGCAAATATATGTGATCTGTGAAGGGAGTTTGGTTTCAAGGCAACTAAGTCATGCCACATTGAAAATAAAATACTGATAACCTAAATAAATAGACCCATTGAAAAAAATATAGTACATACAAACCATACACAAACAGAAAGACAAAAATCCACTAAAGTTTTTTTTTTTAAATTTGTTGTGACTTTTATTGCAAAAAATTAAACATTTAATACCAATTTTGACTTTACGCAAAATGATTAAAAACAAATTTGTATTGCATTGTATTGTAAATTATTGTACTGTATTGTAAATGAAACTTGGCATACATATTAAGAATAACATTGACAAAAAGTTTAAAGAAGATTATTACACAGCAGTTATTGGAATTGTTACAAATGGCATGTATGTGGGGGTCACATAAATATTTGAGAACTCTTCAGGGGTAGCAAATGTAAAAATGTTATAAAACTTTCTAGTTGGATATATATATATATATATATAACTATATATAAAAAGCCTCTAGAATTTCGTAAAGAATATCAATGAAAAGAAGCATGCAATGCTTGAAGGCTGTAGCTAGAATACTTTTCCTCCCGATTCATTTGGCGTTCCTTAAAAATCCGGAAAATGCAAAATTGAGAAAAATGAAAAAAAAAATTAATAATAAAATTGTGTTTTTTTAAATTAGAGGCTGCATGAACGATATAGGATGCATACACCATGTACATATATCCTTCATGATTTAAAAAACAATTAGAAAACTAAGACAGAAAAGATAGGAAAAAAAATTAACACACGAACCTAATAAATAAAATGCATAAATACAAACATTCTCTGAAAACTTTTCCTATGAGACATTTGTTTAAAAACAATCCATCATAAAGTAAAGAATCTCAATTTAAATAAGCATGCAAAGTTTCAATTATGTAGTTCCAAAACTATTCCTCCTGATTCATCAATTGATGTCAGAAAAAAATAAAATGAAAATGCTATATCTATAAAAGCTGAAAAAGACACTGAAACAACATTGGATGCATACACCATGAACACATTCCACTCGTTAATTAAAAATAACAATTTAAGAACATAGATATAATTGATAGAATATAAATGAATGCATTATACCAACAACCCACATACCTCGAGCCCAATAAAAATAAGATGATAAAAACTTCTGAAGTTTTTTTTATCAGACATGTAATAAATAAGATCAATCATAATCATTATGTAGAGACTATAATAGAAACAACCTTGCAAATTTGAAGCATGTGGTAATAATACTTTTCCTCATAATACATTTGATGTCAGAGATAAATGGAAATCCTAAGTGGACCACTTTAAAAAGAGAAAAAAATTAAATTAAGCAATATTAGAAATATAGGAGTCAAATATAATGAAATTTAAAGCATTTCAATGTGCAATTATCAGGCAAAGGTGAAAAAATAAATATTTTAAAAAAATATTTAACAAAACTAGTTTCAGCAAGGCATATTCACACATTCACAAAAGATAAGAATTTTCTAGACATATTTAAAATTTTTAAACATTATGGTAGAACTCAGTATAAACTTGAGACATAAATCCTTCAAGAATTGGATTAACATACTCAGGACCTACATGTTTCGAAAGAAACCTGTGCATAGCCTGGTTAATGTGAAAATGACATAGATTAACAGGTACATTTGGAAACAGATCATTTATAGCAGAGATTTCAGCAATGTCTTTGTCAACCACAAAGCACTTGAAAAGACTGGAATCAGAATTCTTCAGAAGAAGCTGCAAACAAAGAGAAATAGATTCCGTATCTTCATTTTTTACAAAACCATGAAGAACAGGAATGCCCCTGCCCTCTCCATCAATAACCATTACAGTCAAACGTGGATATAAATATTTATTGGTTTTATATGTGAAATCCATTAATAAAACCTCTGGATATTGGGCAATAATTCTAATCATATCATCAGTCATGTATGATAAATACTTAAATTCCCCACTTTCTGTTAGTCCATAGGACACACTTCCACCAGCTTGTGATATAGAATGAAGTATAGATTGAGTTTCAGTTGCATCAGAAGATGATTTATTTATTCTTGACTTAATATTGTAAATATCCCTGGGAAGCAAATCCACATCATGCTGTTGTTCAAGCACTTGCCGGGCCTCAGATGCCTGAATCGTGGTGCAGGACATCAACAGAAGCGTTGCCGCATTTAGTTCCACCTTGCGGTTTTCCGGATACAAGCGGCACATCTGGAAAAAAAATACACAAAGGTTACTTTGCAATAATAAGTATTATGTAAAAAAATATGCTCTGCAAACATTATTATTATTAGTGGTCTTATAAAAGGTTCCCTTTAAGCTGCGCTGCCGCGCAGCCATCTCACAGGCGCTGCGCAGCAGTTTTGAGTATCCGCACAGCAAATTTCATTCTAAGTGTGTGTTTGTGTTTCTGGACTGTAAAATTTTGCACACAAAAAAATTGATGCTGTAAAACTTTGCACATAACTGTATGATTTTGCACACAAAACAACAAACCTTAGAGGGAACATTGGTCTTATATAGTGCGGTACCCCAGCCTAGGGCTGGGCTCACCGCTGTGTACATAAAAATAACTAACCTTCACCTTGGGGATAAATGTTTTATGTTTATTATATGTCACAATAATCAAAATTAAGATTAAAACTCTGTCTGGACTATTTAGAATTTATTAAATTTAATTATACTGTTAAATAGATTTGTCTTAATTTTTTTCAAAACCTTTCTATGGTAAGGGTGGTAACCCTAACCTTAACCTAAAGTTTTCAGTGATAAAATTTCTGAGCACCCTAGATTGAATGGGTTAATGAATGGTACAAAACATTCTTTTAAAATGCATCCATCTCTAACACTATAGTATCTGTAGTACCTGCCACAAGAATATGCTATTTATTATTATTATGTAAATATTTTTCGCAGCACATGCACTTACTTGTTCATGCATTGATTTGGTAATTTCTAGCCGAGATGGATTTCTCTTGGCAACAAGCTTTATCTTTGCCTGGCATCCCAATTTGAAAGAACTGAAAAATATAAAAATTCTCAATGAATTGCCAAAAGTGGTAAGGGTTAATGTGGAGCATGAATGCCATGGCGTCATTTGCTTCTTTATTATAGTTGCAGTGAATTAGGGGTTAGGTTAGGTTGAGGGGTCGATTTAGGGTTCAGGTTAAAAAAAAGGCATAGGCATCGATTTAGGGATACATTTAGTCGCGGCCATCGATAAAATAGTGGCATTCGTCCTCTACATTTACCGTGGTAATAATCATTGGCTTGGAGAAAGAATTATTACATGACAAGACCAACTAAATTTAACCTATTATTATTACTTACACTTGTGATTTTCTTTGGCCTGTTGTCCTTGAAGACTTTGACTTGCGTTTAACTCCTTGTTTGCAACAGTGAATTATATATTCATATTTAAGGTGTTCCAAATTGGGATCTTTCATCTTCTCTGACGATCTTTTAGAGAAACACACATTGAGTTCTTTACAAAAATAATTCAATTCTTCTTCAAATCAAAAATGCTGCCAACCTCCATTTTTATAAAAGAAAGCGCGGCAGACTTGTCAATTATTAAACCTCTGGTTCGGATCATGTTTTTTTTCGATTACTAAGACTTTCGGGTGCGAATAGTCATTGGCGCCGATGGGTACTCGGGTACCTATAGCCACTTCGAATACAAATAGCTCTCTGGAACTGGAAGCTTTTGGTAATGGTAGTTTACTACAAATAGCCCCTAGCCCTAGATTAGATTAGAAGCAGCCAAAGTGCAGAGTGTAAGAAGCTATTAATTAAGGCTATTACTAATTACTATTACTATGAATGACTCATAGTCATAATAGTATTTGACGATATTATTATAATTTATATTTATATTCATTGATATATATTATTAATTATTATTATTATGAATATGACTTCTATTTTACTATTACAAATTCAGTAAGTTACCAGTGGAAGCCTGAATTTGTATTTTGTCTAATCATTTTTAAAGCTTAGACCTAACAGTTTCATTAATTTGATTAATCTACAGTTACAGTTTAAGTGGTAGTAGTAGTAGTTAGTAGTCTAAATCTAAGTAAACAAACACTACAACAACAATGTAATTAAACTAATTACAAGGCAAGACAAAGTTTACAAAAGGCAAGGGAAGGGACACCATTCAATTCATTCTAATGAATCATATTATGATAGGGTAAAAAAAAATATTTATAGAAGTAAAGAATTTGTAGACTTACATTAAGTTTCGTAAAAGGTTCGTTAACACAGATTTGGTTACGTGCATGCTTGTTTTGCACAGAAGAGTGTAAAAGGCTATTCTTTATTTTTTCCCTAAAACTAGGGCCGTATTCCAAAACTTTAAAACTCCAACTTGAGACTTGTTGTGTTCGATTTTTATCTTTATAATTTATTATAGTGATAGCTATTTCCATTGCTCGCTGCTTCGAGCAATATATAATTTCCGTGTTTTCTCATACATTTAATATCTTTAGTGCTGTAGTAAAGACGTTGTTAATAGGTGTGTCGCATAAACTAAAGTAAATTTAAAATTGCATTTGTCGTATTCATAACTCATACTCATTGGCTGCAGGCAAAAGATAAATAGAGTCAAGTCAATGAGTATGAGTCATTCATAGTCATAGTCCATTCATTTGCTACGATTCTTCTGAATGTTTTTCCCGTTTCAATTACCAGTACAAAATTTGTAACAAATATTAATTTTTTTTAAATACTTTTTTTTAAAAAAGGACTTTAAATGCACTAAAAAGTTTCAAATTAAACATTTATTAATTATAATTTGCTGTTAAGTTAAGATGACCCTACCCTTCACATTCTCTATCTACGCCACCGTGGGAGGCACAATTTTGACAACCTAGGCCCAGGGCTTTTGGTGAGCTCAGTCTGTAAGCCTTACAGTAAGGGTCTCCATTTGGCTGGTCAATCCATGCTACCTTCAAAATTCTCTTATACTTATACCTTCAAATTTAAAGTGTGACACGAGAGTTGAATTTTATGGTAGGACTATCCAACCATGATCCAATCCACTGGCTGATGATGAAGGTCTTAAGATGTGAACCCACGAATAAGAACCATTTAAAGATACATGTACTTATTTGAACTTAACGTTTAAAAAAAAAATATTTTGATGCACTAAAGCTTGGGTCCTTTAACTACAGCCCACGGGACAGATTCAGCCCATCAGTGGTCCTTTTCCTAGCTCGCTTGGCCATCATATGGGTACATGGGTGGCAGAGGCAAATATGTTGCACATCATTTAAAAATGGTAATGTTATTTTTCTTTTTTTTAAATAATAACTTCAGGAAACCTGTGTTGCACTACTTCAACACACACAAAGCAGCAGAAGTAGCAGTATCAGCATGTTAGGCATGTTAATTTACATTAAACTCAAAATATATTGAACTATTAAATTAAGGCTTAAGTTTCATATACTGAATTAGTGCCTGCACTGTAATTAAACATAATAAATAGTCTCATTAACATTGAAACAACAACAACAAATTCACTTAATTCCTTTTGTTGACTTATTTAAAGTTTTTAAACCACAGAACTTATTATTATTAAAAGTACAACAAATATGTTGATAAATAATTTTAACATTTATTATAATTATAGGTTTTTAGCTAATTTATAAAGAAATTTGGGACAGAGGAAGAGTATATACAGAGAAAGAAAAGGAGAGGTAGGGAGATAATAAAAAAATTAAGAATAGTAATGGGAAGAGAAAGACTATAGGTCTAAATATAAGTTAACAAGGCATGTTTAAAATAAATCATTAAAAATATAGGCTTAGCAATGTATTCGGTTACAAAAACAATTTTAAAATTCACTACTTGTGAAAGAGTTTGACCAAAAATACACAATTGTACATATTTTGCTTAAGAAAAAAAAATATTTTTTTTTAAAGTCACATAGGCAGCATTCTTCTTCACATACTACACTGTTCCTATTTTTTGACTTTTTTAAAGATAGTGTGTTTACAACTTTTTATAATTATTCTTAACCAACTTAAGTACTGTAAACCTATTCTATTTTTATGTCTGTTCAAAATGATTTTTTTAGAAAATGTACAGTATTTCAAAAAAAAATTATTTCAGATAAATATATTTAATTTTTTTTTTAATTATTCAAGTTAACAGTACAGTGTAAAATTTAATTTTAACTTGTATTGCTTGCTGGAATATGAAAATTGAAAATCCTGCTAAGCATAACAATCATGGATGCAAAATTATAACACACATGCTTTTAATTTAATTTTAAAAGAATTCATATTTAAATTTATATGAAAATCTTAAAGTTTTTTACAAAGTTTGGAGACAGCAGCAATTCTGTTCATAAGTAATAACAAAATTTAGTAATATCAAATGTTGCCTCTAATTTTGTTTTCACTGCTTTCAAAAACAATATGTGAACTTGGAATAATTCAAAATAATTAATTTTTTGTATTATGTCTTGTTAACATTGCAGAGGCGTAGCTAGGGAACAAGATTCATATTTTACACCCCCCCCCCCCCCAACCAAAAAAAAAAAAAAAAAAAAAAACCCCTCTGAAACCCGATTTTTTTTTATCAATAAAATACCAACAAAGCCAGTTTTGGTTGCATCCAACAACTGTGTCACCCCCTCTTTGCTCCCCCTAGCTACACATCTGAAAAATTGTCATTTATTCAATGATTTATTGTCTTCAGTATTTATTTATTATCCTCTGGGGAAATTGCATAAATTTATTTTCATAACTGATATTTTCCCAAATTAAGAAACTTAAAAATTATTGCATACCATATGTAGTCTATAAGTAAGTGGTGTATTATAAAGGTCTTCTTTGGTCAGCTTATGAGAAAGATTGGTTACATAATAAACATTTCTTTTTAAGAATATAAATTTATATGCCTTGACAGAGAAATAAAAGGGTACCATGTAATTTAAAATGAAAATTCTTAATTTTTAAAACAGTTGAGTAAAAAAAACACTAGATAGATAGTTGTTAAAAAAATAAATATAGATCTACATTTATTTAGATTTATAATAATGAATCATCATTTTAGAGACAGCTTTGGGAAATATAAGTGCAAAAGCTAAAAAAAACATTAAATTATTTTATGGCACAAGGGTACTGCAACAAAAATATAATATATTAATAATATAATATATAATATTATTATAATTCATAAAACAAACCCTAAAGTAACAGTAAAGGACTAATTTACTTCAAAAATGTCAAACTGGAGTGTATTAATATTTTAAATATTTGACCTATATATTATCAAAAATAAGTCAACACTGATCAAGTTGTTCGTCCGTCAAAATCGACTAGTACCATCGAGTCATCTGGTTGGGGGAGGGTGAGTTACAGTGAGCTCGTAGGTGGCTTGCTAGTCCGATCCCTGCTTGAAATATACAGTTGCTGCAGTCTGTGATCTAGTGTTGCTCTTTTGGGCTAGCCTGCGCGTCTCAGCTGTGGTTATCCTACTGACTTCATGAGATTTAACCCCCTTCTTGTCAGCTGCTCTCCTGCTGGCTCTGTCCTGGGCTGTCTGCACCCATTGAGTAGGGTTTATGCTGTAGGCCTTTCGTGCCGCTTTCAGTGAGTCTTTGTAACGCATTTTTTTACCTCCGTGGGAGCACTTGCCTATTGTGAGTTCTCTGAAGAAAATCTGTTTTGGGAGCAGGTGGTCTTCCATGCAGGCTATGTGTCACATCCAACAGAGTTGAGACTGCATCAGGGTGGTGAAGATATTAGGTATAATTGCTCTAGCGAGGACCTCTGTGTCAGGAACTTTGTCTTGCTGCCTGATACCAAGGAGCTTCCTAAGGCAGGTTGTGAGAAAATGGTTCAGTTTCTTGGCGCGACGCTGGTAGACTGTCCATGTTTCACATCCATAGAGATATGTCGAGAGGACTGCTGCGCTACAGACCTTGATCTTTGTTTCTTGTCTAATACCTCTCCTGTCCCAAACAGTGCTGCGGAGCCTCCCAAATATGGCACTAGCTTTTGCGAGTCTGGCATTCATTTCATCATCCATGACCACAGATCTGGAGAGGATCTGCCCAAGTAAGTAGTAAATGTATCCACCGCGTTAAGATGCTGTCCACTGATGATGATGTTGGGTTCAACGTAGGGCTGATTGGGAGCTGGCTGATACATCTCCTAAGTCTTCTTGGTGTTGATTGTGAGGCAAAAGTTATAGCAGGCCTCAGAGAAGACATCAACGTAGTACAAGAATTATTGAAAATATATTTGCATAGTTTATTTTATATACCTAGTCTTTCCTAACAGTTAAATCTCAAACATTTGGCTTAGCCAGTAAAAGGGCAAACCATCTTCATTGGGTGAAAAGGAAATGAAGATCAATCAATCATATAATATATTTATTCCAGGCATAGGAAAACTTCTAAAAAAAAATATGTTAGATGTTTACTTTGTATAGGTACTTAACTATGACAGAGAAACAGAAAATCGATGCATAATAATAACATAGCATTGCTTTAAAATTTAATCTTCAACTTCAAAATAAAACCTAAATGAAGAAAAGAAAATCTTGAATGATTTGTGTTTGAATAAATCATAGTCTAAAAAATCATATATGTCTTGTAGCTTATGAAAAAAATTACATTTTTTACACTGAAATTCCCTTAAAATAATACGGATAATGAAAATACCTACAGGAGTCTTATCACGAGACCTTGTATTACAGATTTTAATATTATAGTTATAGTATAAGTATAAAAATAGGAAAATAAAATATTTTTTAAAATAATTTTTAGCAAAGACATTTATTAGAAGAGATAATTCCATATTTTCTTACTTTTATTAGATAAATGAAAATGAAAATTCTAAAAAATATGTGGGTATTTTTATTCCTAAATTGATTTTCAAAACTGTGCATTTGGTATAAGAAGCCATGCCACAGCTTTTTATACTGTGTGCAGAAAGAGAGAGAAGTGGCATCACCGTTAATTTATCAAGATTTTTACAAAGATAATTTGTATGACTTCAGTTACATGCGAAGCTTATTTTCTAATTAAGCTAATGATTCAAATAATCTTAAGCTTATTTTTTTTATTTTGTTGTTGTTTTTCTAAAGTAAAGTGATTCATTGTTTGTGGAAAATAAAGCTGCCATTATAGAAATAAGTAGGCTATTTATAACTTTTTATATGAAAAGAGAAATGTTATTTAAAAGTTTTAAGATCAACCATTTTGATCTTCATCATATGGCCAAGTTTGATTAAATAAGTAGTTCAAAAATATAATTTAAAAAGCATTAGGGTTAATGTGGTTTAGCTTTAACAAAATTTTGTGATACATTTTCTAAAAGAATGAATACCGGG